TCCCCGGTATTTTTGTTTTCTATAGCTTTAAACGAGGCATAAGCTATGTTGAAATGAATTCGCGAATTAGTCAAAGTCTGAAATTTAATAAATTATTATAAATTTTCGAATCATTTTTTACTGTACTGATCGATGAAATGCATTTATAGAGGGAAAGCCATGATAACGTGCACCTATGATGTATTGACTGTAGTATATTCAGTGTATACAGGTTATTTTTTCTGAATCGCTATATTGTATGCAGTGTCGATTGTACATTAAGTATGTTGGTATGTTTCACGGCCCCTAATGTTTGCCTATGAACATTTCTGATGATATTTTTATGATAACGTAATGCCGTGAAAATATCAAAAAATATTCCACAGGCATTACGTCATCAACCGTGAAATACGTATCAACGGTGTGACTTGAAATCAAGTATTACCACGACTTCGCCGTGCTAATCCATGATATTCACGGCAGCCCGTGGAATATCTATTACAAATTAAATAGTCAATACAAACATCTTTCTATGTGGAACCTTTCAAAATTTTAATAGATTAATTGTTAAATATTTCATTTTCGCATGCTCATTAATAATTAAGGTTGTCAATTATTCTGAATTACAAAAAATCCTAATAATTATCAGAAATTTAATAAACTTGGTTTTGTTATTGAATTATTAACTGTTGAAAGCAATTCTATTTAAAATCTATTAACGTATTTTTAATCACTACAATACTACATAAAATTATGTATCACCGATAATAGCAGTTCCTTTCATAGCAACTCCACCTTGTATGTTTTCAGCCCAAACATCTAAAGATGTGTTATCAGTGTGACCCTTTTTTCCACAGACTTTAAATTCTTCTCCAACATATAAAGGACTTAACGCTTTATATTTGAAAGATTTAATGTACGAAGAACTTGGCAAGTTATCACGAATTAAATCAAGAAGAAGAGTACAAGTGAGTGGACCATGGACCAAACAACCTATTAATTGATTATTTATTATGAGTATACAGTCAAATTAAACTTGGAAATCTTAAAAGTTTTTCACTCGGCGCCATTCACATAAAACATGATCAGAATTGACTTTAGATTTAGAAAAAAATAAAAAGGTTAGAAATTGATATTTACCGGGATATCCTTCAATCTCAGTCGAATAAATGTGATCGTAATGAATTCGATGACTATTGAATGTTAAAGCTGAATAACGAAACAATAACATTGAAGTAGGTAATATAACCTTCTCAAATTCAGGTGATAAATTCTCTATATCAAAAAATTGTATGATTTTTACAATTATAATTCACAGAGCAATCATAATTATTAATAATAAATTATAAAATAAAAATTATAAATTGTAAAAAAAAATAGTACCTTTAATAATTTTTCTTGGAGGTCTAGGTACTTCACTTGATGGCACATAAGCAAAACATCTAGTATCTTTTATACACCAACCATTATCATTACTAATATTAATATCAAGCCAAACAAAAACATTTTCACCCAATTTTCCAATTTTATACTCTGCATCACGAAGTTTAGTAGTCATTTTTGCTTTTTGACCAATTCTTAATTGATTTTTATGATTAAATTTTAATTCACCTCCTGCCCACATACGTCTTAGAAATGGTGGAGGTGGTGAATATAAAGTGTTATATCCGTCATTTGACAATTCATGTTCATAATCACTTGGATTAAAATATACTAAATGATAATTTGGTGGTAATGGTGTTTCATCTGGTGGAGTTTGAGTTGATGGAATATTATTGATAATTTCTTTACGATTCAAAGTAATAGAAAGAAGTTGAAGTGGTGTTGGAAATAAAATTTCTTCTTTTGTAGTAACGATTCTAGAAATTGTAGTTTTCCAAGATGAAATAAGAACTTCTGAATAATTATTTTTGAATTGTAAAGATGTAAAAAATGTACGTGATAATTGTGAACGATAAATAAAATTAATAGATGAACATTTTAAGAAATTCATAATGATTACAAAGAAATAGTTTCTGTAAACAGTTAAAGATGCTTTCATGCCTTATACAGTTATAGTTATAGAGATCGTTTAGTGCAGAGTACAGTCACTTGATAGGACCAATTATAATCAACTAATCACCATGGAGCAGCCCGATGAAGCAAAAACGAATAAATATGCTAACCAGGAATATATAACCTTTTGCTATAACACTAAACTAAATTGTATTGCTGTGCCCTGTTTTTGAAATATATTAATTAAACTTCGTACGTACGAATAAAATTTTAGTTTTACTGGCATTATCACGAAAGAGATTCTATTGAGGTCCTCTTAAATGTAATAAGAACTAAAATACGGTGATATTAAACCTCAACATTTTAGCCTTAAAAGTATATTCAAGTATATTCTCAAGATGTTTTCCACTAAGTTTAATGGTATAACCAGACTTTAAAATTTTATCAAAGCATTTATTTAAATTCTATTATATTGAGTGTATTGATACAAACTATTTATTATTGGCCATCGTCTTTAACGATAATAGTAATATGATGATTCTATAATTTACGTAGTTAAGTCATATAATTCGTCTGAATCTATGTTTAATTGTAAGTAAATCAGTAAATATATAACATAAGAGATAATTCATTTTTCCGTTAAGTATACGTATACAGTATCGCTATTGCTATCATGATACATACCGATACGTATTGACGCTAACGCACAATGGAAATATTCACGTGGCTTGGCAAAAATTTACATTTGTTTGTTTGAACCCAAAATTGTGTGACAGTTTAACGTTTCTTCAATTGCAAAGCCTTTATATTTTCAGTGCAAGAAAAAGAGGCAAGACTCTAAAAATAGAGGTTTGTTAGGTTAATTATTGTATATTGTCATGATTGTATATCATTGGAGGGCCCGATTCATTGTTATAAATTTTCACGATTCAGATAGGAATTAATTTTCGGTCCACTTTATATATACAGTATGTCTAAGTCACATTTGTGTTACGTTAACGTTAATAAATGTTTCAAATTTTGCAAATAAAGAATTCAGAATACATATTTATAGTTCCTAATTTCCTTTTGAATAATTCGAGCAATTCTCACTCATTTCACGATTCCAATTAAACTTTTATACACTCAAAATGGAGGATATTCACAAGAAGTTTAGATACTATAGTGTTCAACTTGATAAAGAGCTTTCAAAGTATCCTCAGATTAGAAAATTGGAAGAACATACTAATGTTTCGAAAACTAATATTTTCTTTGGTGTTGTCGCTCTCGTATTTGTGATGATCTTTTTCAACTTTTTTGGAGAATTACTTTCTGACATGATTGGTTGGCTTTATCCAGGTTTGAATTTAAAAATAACAAATATTTTATAGACGATATACGTTATTTATATAGGATAATTTCAATTAACTTTGACTAATTCGCGAATTCATTTCAACATAGCTTATGCCTCGTTTAAAGCTATAGAAAACAAAAATACCGGGGA